GTTTTAATAGAGACAATCTGCTTTTTAAAATAAAAGATAATATAAAAGTGTGTGTGAATAGGCTATGAAATGCTGAAAATTGTGCAGGAGCACCACCTAAAATCTTGCCAACTTAGCTAGGGCCAGAACAGTTACATCTAACCATTTTGTTTTCATTAAACATCATTACCTGATAAATTCACCCAAACACGTGGTGTAAACAAAGAACTGGATGTTTGATTTAATATTTATCCTTGAATCTCGTGTTGAACCGGATTTTTGAAGGTCAGCATACAGGTGAACATCTGAAGGAGTTGACATGTCTACAGTGTGTTATGTCATGAAATTCTTTCCTAATAAAGGGTCAAAAGACCAACACAAAGTAGTTTAAAATTGTAAAGTATCATCTATTTTGTAGCTGTTTGTCTACAATTAAAACTTTATTCAGTGTGCTTTGTGGAACCCAGTGATGACATCACTGTTTTGTTTCTTTTTTGTTGTCGTTAATGAATTTCATCCTGACGTATTTGTCTCAGGTAATGTGTAACTGCTGGATTTTGCATTCTTTAATTCTGTTTTGTCTTTATTCTCTTCCATGTGACGCCAAACATAAAAATATAAATGGCAAACAGCACGGTACGTTCTAATTCTATGTGCCTAATCTTTTTGACTGTCGTTTTGTAGTTTTATTTTGGCTTACAGTATTTTAGTAGTATTCATCATTCATTATATTTACACGCGTGACTCACTCACAGCATAATGTTTTTATATAGCAAAATGTTGTACCATAACATTTATTCTTCTGTGCTACTATTGCAGCATTTCTGGGGTCCTGTAGCAAACTGGGGTCTTCCAATAGCTGCCATTGCAGATATGAAGAAGAGCCCTGAAATTATCAGTGGCAGGATGACCTTTGGTAAGGCAAATAAACTGTAGAGGTCAAATCAGAGTTGCTTTTTATTAGAGACTGACATTTTTAAACAGACCGAAACAGATCCTGTTTGAGAGCAACAGATTGTCAAATCTTTAATCTCTCCACTTTTATTGTATGTTAGATTGATTTAAACAATGACTTCATACAGTCAGATAATTATAATCTTGAGAAGGCTGTGTGACAGGTTTATTATTACATGTAAGTGCTTTACTAAACAATATACACAAACGTAGTCTCTGATAAACCTGTGCTTGTATTTGTTCTTCTTCCTCTCAGCTCTGTGCTGTTACTCACTGCTCTTCATGAGGTTTGCTTACAAGGTTCAGCCACGTAACTGGCTTCTCTTCGCTTGCCATCTTACCAATGAATCGGCACAACTCATCCAGGGAGGTCGACTCATCAAATACAAGTGAGACATGTTGTGTTTTGCATTTCTTATGTTGTTGTAAACAAATCCTTTATAACAAAATGACACATGGGGAAAAAAGTTTTCCACTCTATTCCCCTTGGAGTTGTAAATATGGTTTACTATTTTCAGTAGTTTATTTATTGTAAAAGTAGTTTTTAGTTAAGATGGGATGGCTATAAACATTCTTCAGTCTTAACATGACAGTTATATTGTATTTGTATTGTTAAAAAAAAGCAATTAAAATCTTGAAATGTATGTTTTTTCTGTTGTTTCAGCACGGAGAAGAAGTGAACGTAGTGATGAAGGGAAGCTTCATGGACAACTGCAGAATCCTGCTTCAATAACCTATAAAGTTGAAAAAAAAATGGAACTCATTCATCTAAACATACTTTCCAATCAGTAAATTTGTTTCACCTGACATCACTTTTTTCATGACGGTGCCATGATTGGTTACGTTAACAAGATTTAGTCCCTTTAATGTTAGCTTTTCTCTAATAATTAAGCTTAACTGCTGTAATTTTAGTGAGGTTTGTCTATGTACAAAAATGTGCAAACCAGAGGAACTGGTGTCTTGAATAAAGGCCAGCAGCTGTTGAGTGCTTTAAAGTAGACTGAAATAGTCATTCCTTGTTAATCATATCGTTACAGGTCATTAGCACTGAGTTTTGGTCACCTGCTCTGAAATTGGTATTATTGCTGACAAACCATAACATTTTTAATTAAACACTTAAGACATGTCTGCTGTGAATGCAGGACTTCATTTATACATGAATAAGGCTCCAGTTTAGCATAGTTTAAATTCATTGATTCATAAGAGGTCATGAAAATTAAAACAGATTGATTAAAAAAAGATAATCAAATAAAGACCTATTTTGATGCATATGTAAATATAACAAATATTTTAAAGTGTTGGGTGGATTGGAAAATATCTGGATTATTATCTGGTAACGATAGCTGCTTCTGTCATTGTTGACTAAGCATGAAATGTGCAGTTATATTCACATGTAAATCACATTAATTTATGTCCATTGTATGATTTACCCAATGCTGAATTAAATTTGTTTAAATAAACTGAACTGGGGAAACATTTTTCTTTGTTTTTCTTGAAACAATACTGCAAATTTCATGTTAATTTCATCAGAGCAACTGTCTGTGGTTTCTAACAGGGATGCAGTGACATTTACATAGTTTTATCAAATTTACCATGGTAATATGACACCGAATGCTTAGTATTTTTCTTTTAAAATTACTGTATTAACGAAAATTTTTAATTCAGTGCAAAACATCTTTTTCATGTACCTCATGTTTTATTTCACAGATAAGTTAATGGGAACCAGAAATGTTATTATTATTATTATTATTATTATTACAATTTCTGTTTCACTTCTGGATTAATCACATTGTTGGCCATTTCATTCCGTAAGTCTGGTACTTTTTTCCACTAAGATGCAACAGACTACACTTTAAAGTTTAATAAGAAGGACATTTCAATGGAATTTTTTTTAAACTAAAGGCTCCATCTCGCTTTTCATTGACAGAAGGTTCAGATCCAAAAACCAGATAGAAGTGGTAATGCTTTATAAATACCCACCTGCACCATGACCATTAAAAATACATTTATAATGTATTTCACTGACTGGCGTGACTAAGACAATGATAAACACGTTCATTAAATGAATTTTAATTCTAGAATGGTCACACTAGTCCAGTAAGACTAAAAAATAAAATGCTATTGTCCAGTAGGTGGCAGTAGTTTGCAGTTGAGCTTGTTCACCCGTTATAAAAGCCCAACCCCACCAGAAAGACAAGAAGAAGAAAAAAAAACATGGCGTCTGTCAACAGTGTCGAGTGGAGAGCCATCTGCGACAAATTCACCAACGCCCAAAATCTCACCGATACAGAATCACGAAAAGATCCAGAAAACGACCCGTTTCGCTCCAAGTATAAAGCCAGAGATCTTCTCCGAGAAATTTATTGCTCACTCAAGAATTTTGAAGTGGGTGACGGCGAGGAGGACACGGGTGGAGAGAGCGTCGACCAGCGGCCGACTGAGCAGCCGTTGGACGGTCAAAGGGAGGATGCTTTCGATCGCGGTTTTAGCGGGGACTCTCCGGCGGGGATGCGGGCAGCTAAACTCGGGGCTGTGGAGTATTACCTGGGCGTGAACCATGTGGACACGGAGGAGCTGTCCGCTGGGCAGGAGCATCTGATGAACTCCATCAAACTGCTGGATAGATGCAGGGTGTCGGCGGAGAACGTGTCTCTGTTTATTCATGTCAGGGTAATAATGAATTTTAATGTCGTTACCATGTTTCTCGTACACCAGTCATTATTTTAGCTTGTGGTAATTTTACTATAAGTTAATCTACAATATTTTTCTGTAGTCCAGCTGTTGATCGTGTGTTGTTGGCTCTTTGTTTTGCCAGAACCAGCTTGGCATCCTTTGGGCTGGTCGTGATGAGACTGAGACAGCTCAAGGCTACCTGGAGACAGCAGAATCCATCTACCAACGTTACATGAAGGAGGTGAGGATGGTTTCCTGGCTGCTGGTACAAAACTGTAGCCAACTGGAGAGGAAAACACTGCTTTAAAACATGGACGTGTTTTTATCTTACTGTAATCTCAAATTGGGTTTAAAATATGTGAAATGGATTTTGTGACCATAGATAATGTGGGGATGGTTAATAATGTGACTGAATTATGATTAATGGCTGAAGGTGTCACGGTGAAGCTGGGAATTCAGAGAGGATGTCTCTGAAAACAGGTAAACATATTCTGTTTATTTATCCAGGCATCCATCAGCCTTTTACCCCTTCAGGTTGAAGTCTGTTTTTTTTTTTTTTTTTTATAACCACACATGCACTTTGTTGTTCTACTGGAAGTTCCTGTGCAGTTTTTTTTTGGTCCACCTGTTTGCACTTTCCTGAGTTTTTGCTACACGTTGTGTAGTCTTTTTTTGTTCGTTAGCATCATCAGGTCACTGATAAGGTTTTTACTGAGAACACAAAATGTGTATTGAAAAACGTCACATTGAAAGATAATTTCTCCTCTGATTGTTGATCCCTGCACCTTATCCAGGATGGGAGGCCACCCACTGACATGACAGAGTACTTCAGTACTGAAGAGAACCTGCTGACGCACCAGGAAAGGACCAAGAGGTAATTTCTAAACTCCAACGTTCACTTGCATGACATCCTGACACGTACATATTTGAATGTACTTAGTTTTGTTTTGACTTTTTAATTATGCTTCATTATTTATTCCCTGCTACCAGATTTGAGTTGGCTTACACCCATACCATGTACTACCTTGCTCAAGTTTACAAAAACCTTGGTGAGTTATTGGTTGGTGTGGATTAAATATATATGAATAAAATTGGAAGTTATTTTAGCTTCTGAATTGAATCTGAATGCGATTGTGATAAAAAAAAAGCTGAGCATTTCATTAAAATAACATGAACGTTTTTTCTTTCAGGTGAGAAAGAGCGTGCTGCCACCTACTGCCACAGCACCCTGCAGAGGCAGTTACAGTTGAACCAGTTCAGCCCAATGGAGTGGGCCCTGAATGCTGCTACACTGTCTCAGTATTACATCACAATGGTAGGACCTAAATTGATTTGGACTGAAATTTTGTCATAAGCCCAGATCTTAGAGGATCTTGAAGATTTTGGTTTAACTTCTGTGTTAGAATTCCGAAAATACGTTGTTTTTTTTTTTTATTATTATTGGAACTCAGTTATGGTCTTTTTGTTTGTCACTGTATTTTATTTTTCCAAGTGAATTCTAACACGTTTGAATATTTTTATCGGTGCCTGTGTTATTTTCAGGGCCGATTCATGGAAGGCAGACACTGCCTTGCAGCAGCAACCGTCATCTCAGGTTTGGCAGGAGAGGTTCCCTCTGAAGCTGCAGCACAGGAAAGTAAGTATCCTCTCATAAAGACACTTTTGTAATGCATGTTGCAGCCAGCGCTTCTTTACAGTTCTGAAAATTGTGGATTTGATTTTAACTATTATCTAGGTTTAGATAAGTACAGGCAGGGGCATTTGTAATTCCTGGCTTAGATGTTTATCTAAATTTCAAAAAGTCAGTTAATCAGCCTAACAGAGTAAAAATAAACTGAAGCAGGTTGACTTGGTTTTTGGCTTTTTATGTCCCCATTCTTTTCATCTAAATATTTTTGATAATTCCTTTCTTATCTACGGGCACATCATAACATCTCTTCCATCTGACCCAGGTGAAACGGAGAACGAGCGCAGGGAACAGCTCCGACAGAAGAGAGCAGAGATTGCAAGATGTTGGATTAAATACTGTCTCAATCTCCTGCAGGATGCCAAGAAGCTGCTGGAGGTACAGCGTGTGTACACATTTTTAATTCACAAATTTATATAAAAATATATTGTCGCTGAAAGTTATAGTTATGGTTTGTGTGTGTTTTGTATGCATCTCCGTACTTGTTTTGAGCCTTTAAAACCAAAACTCTTGTGGGTGAGTTCAGGACAACATTGGTGAGCTGGATACTGATCATCAAGATGAGCTGAGGAGAGCGAGAAGGCAAGAGGAGGAGGAGGAAGAGAAGGGGCGGAAGAGCGCCCTGCTGTTTGGTTCTGAAGACACCTTTGATTCTATTGCAAGTGTGGAAGAAAAGGTCTGTCTGTTGACTTACTTTGTTCATGTGAGAACAACAGAACCGTAATAACCAGACTTGACAATTATCCATGAAGCTTACCAACATTTGTACATTTTACTACAGACAGCTGGAAAACCCAACTTCAACTGCTGTTAAAAATAGGACTTTTGATTAATTTCTCTTTCTAATTTAGTAAAACATTAGACTGGTGTCCTCAACGTTGGCAGGAAGATTCAAGCAGGTCTGAGATCAGTCAGTTAGTATCCCCATGTTATAGCAGAGATTCTTACTTTTTTCTTATAACTTTTAAATCTAATGTATGTAGACTTTATAATCATTTATTTATGTTTGTTTGAGAGGTTAATAACAGTTTGACCAATTCAAAATCCATATTCAGAAATATTACGTCATATTAATATATACTGATATGATCAAGTGACATAAAATAGACTTAAAACAAAGGTATTAATGATGTAGCATGAAGATATTTGGTTACAGATTTGTGTATTTATGAATATAAACAACCTTCCATCAGAGGGCGCTGTTTTCCAGTAAAATCCTTTCATAAAGTAACTTCTAACAGTTGACATAAAGTCTCTTTATCTTCTTTTTATTTATCTTTTACAGGTGATGTGTTTGCTTCCATTGGACTTTACTGAGGCCAGAGGTGTGTTTTTGGTGGGACAGAATTATGTAACACAGGTATGAACAACAAGATGCAGTTTCAATTTCATTTTTTCTTTTTAAGCCTTCGTAGACCGACCTGCTGAGTACTCGCAAAGCATCTACAGAGAAGCAAACAAACTGCTCGGCAGGAATAGAAACTTCACTATGCCCTTGTAATTTATTATATGTGTGTAACTCTTTTGATGAACACTGTTGGGAATTATAAGAATATTATTTGGTGTGTTAACACAAATTAAATGCCATATTTATGACATTTTATAAGTGAGCTTCAGAGGCCCAGAACAAGCTTTTTCATACAGTAATTTCTAAAATGAGTCCAAAGGTTTTTAGTTTAAATGATTTTAATTTATCTTAATAACAGATCAGCAGTTACAGATTCAGAAAAAGCAGAAGCCAGCTGAGCGCTGTACAGAAATGGATTTTAAGAAAGCAGTACTGTTTATATCGCCTCCTTTTCCAAGCAGTTGCATTATGTTGGATTTACTCATGTTGAGTTAATGCTTTTTGCCTTAGCCATTGTGGTTGACCTGCACTATGTTTCTGTCATAAGGTCACATGGTTTTTGTATCGGGATGCTTAAAGTGCGCTCTGTGGGACCATTCCCTCTTCCTGAAAGCCTTCCATATATTACAGAGCTAAATGCCCACAAATGTGGGACAGTGTGAAATCTGTTAGTGGTCAGTTTTTAGTCATCTCCATTCTTCTGTTCCCAAGGCTAAGGAGTACTATCAGATGGACGGATATGTGACGGACCACATAGAGATCCTGCAGGATCACAGCGCTCTGTTCAAGGCCCTGGCTTTCTATGAGGAAGATCTGGAGCGTCGATGCAGGATGCACAAAAGACGAGTTGACATGTTGGAACCAATCTGTAATGGTACAGTTGAAATTTTAGTTTTTCCTTTGAAGAATGTTTTCTCCTGTTTTAATGTGTTACATTTTTGTTTACATTATTAAAATGTCTTCCTCTCTGACTCTTGTTTTTGGTCTTTATCAGACTTGAATGCTCAGTACTACCTACTGATCCGCAGACAGCTGATGTTCGAGTTGGCTGAGATCTACAATGAAATGATGGATGAGAAGCTGTCTCTGGCCAACAGACAAGCAGATATGCAGTCTTTAGACAGCCACATCATTAAGAAGTTCAACCATCTCTGCTCTGCTTCTGCAAAGTACATACCTAATTTTGTTTTTTAAGTAGCAGCGTGTGTTTCTGTCAGTGTAACGTGCTTCAGTAAGATTTGTTTTCCTCTCTTGCTCCAGGTACTTCCAGATGTTCCTGGACACTCTGTGTTCTCCACAGGGAAAGCCTCCTGAACACCTGGAGGAGGAGGTGCTCAGACCAGCTCTGGTGGCCCACTTCAGAGTAGCCCGACTTCACAGCAAACTCATCAGCTCTTCCACATCGGTTCAGCTGGAAAACCTCAACAAATCTCTGGAAAACTACAAGTATGATGACAAATGTGCTTATTTTTTATAGGATTATAAATAAATAACATAGACGTGGTTAGTCAGATCAAAAAGAACTTGTCGCGTTAAGATTACCATAATTTCCGGATTATAAGCCGCTATTTTTTCCACAGGCTTTGAACGCTGCGGCTTATAAAATGCTGCGGCAAATTTATTGATTTTTTATTTTTTTTTTGACGGGTTAACAAGCTTCCTGTTGCCAAAAGCATTTAGCTTCGTCACACCCGGACGCTCGCATATCTGCCCAATACACGTCTCTCTTGTGGGGTTGGTCCTCGTGGCTCAGTGAGATTACCTGTATAAATAAAGGTAAAAAAAAATAATAATAATCTGACCAATGAAATTACCAAACCGGTCCCAGTCAAACCAATGAAATGGGAAGGGGAGGAGAGAACGGGACAGGGAAATTGTGTTACCGTACAAAGTCGCACTGCCATATGAGTCGCATCAGTTCAATTATGTGTAATAAAGTGGGGGGCGGGGGGAAACAAATATGTCACTTTGCCGTCGCTACGTCGCATCTATTATGCGTCACCACTGATGCGTCGTGTTTGTTATGCATCACAGTTGACCACCCTGAAACGTGGGCAGGTGTTGTGCAAACAATCGATTGGCTGCCAAATGGCAGCCACGGGAGCGTGCACGGGAGGACTTTAACAAGAATTTAACAAGATTAACACTTAAAAACAATTATTTGTTTGCTCAACATTATAGTGAAGGTGTGTCTCAGTTGAACTTTTCCTTTAATAAATGCACTTTATTGGTCAAATCAGCTGCGTTTCGCCTGGGCGGTGCGGCAAAATGAAGTTCCAGGAGTTCCGGAGCGAGATGAAGGTGGCTTTGGTATGGCAAGCAAAGTGTCTCACTAATAGCCATTTTTACCTATTAATGAGACACTTGGCTTACCATATTACTCGAGGGCCCTCTAGCGGCTAAAAATGGTAGTGTTCAATATTTTCCATGTCAGAATGAATGAAATCATCAGCTCTCAGCTAAAAATTGGGTTATAAATATGGGATAAAGCGTTAGTCACTTTGGACTATAAGTCGCAGGACCTGCTAATTTATGCAAAAAAATGCGACTTGTAGTCTGAAAATTATGGTATGTTATTGGTACGTATTTAATTAAAAGTTTAAAAAAATCTTTCTGTGTCAGTATCTCATGTTGCAACATAGACACCCATGGCTTATACACAAGTGTGGTTTACACATGTACAATTTTTTTTTTTTTTTTTTGTGCACAGCTTATATTTGGGTGCGCTCTATAGTCTGGAAGTTACGGTACATGTCATGAGTGGAAGTGCCTCTGATCCTGCACGTGTTCATCGTTTCATGTCAAAATTGTCTTGTAGGTACGTGGTGCAGTATTGTGAGGAGCACCCTGAGGCAGCAGCTGTGGTGGAGACGGAGCTGGAGCTGAGTAAAGAATTGGTTGGCCTCCTTCCTCTCAAAATCAACCGCCTCAAATCACGGATGGCTGCAAACGACTGAAAAACCCTGTTTACTCATGTATCACAGAACTGATCCTGTTCAATTTAGTCAAACGCAACAATCTAAATGTAACTTGTCGATTCTTTGTGAACACTCAGCAGTCAGAGAAACCAAAAGGCAGATTGATTTATTTCTGCTATTTCAGTGTGCAGTGTTTTTTCTTTTTTCTTTCTCCTGTGTAGTGAGCACGCTGCTTTCAAAATACTGTTAGTACTATACAGGCTGTACATACTGTGTGTGCTGTCATAAACCTAATATAATGTTCAATTAACTTTTGATTCTAATTTGTAAACTGCACTCTGTTCATTGTTATAACTTTTCTGTGCTACAAGAAGAAAATGAAGAATGCTTTGTTTAGT